TTTTTTTTTTTTTTTGGTTCCTTTGGTTAAGCCAAAACTTTTCAAATGTGGAAAATCTGGTGGACAAGACACTTTATTTTAAGGGAAAAATGTGTTTTTAGTCAAAGTGGTCTAAGTTCTTAATGTTGATATTGATAAATTTGGTCTTCAAACTTTCAGTCAAGAAACGTGCAGATGTGGAAAATCTGGCAGACAAGACACTTTTTATATGGGAAAAATGTATTTTTAGTCATGGTCAAAGTTCTTATATTTTCATATCCATGAATTTGGTTCTCGAAAAACATGTAGATTTAGTTCTTCCTTTCTAAGAAATCATCATGTTAAGTTACGAGGAAATAAATTCGTATGTTTATTTACCCAAAAAAAAATGTTTTTCGATGAATATGAAAGTACAAGGGCATTTGACATGGGGTAAACGGAAATTTTCCTTTTTTTGTCTATTACTTGGAGTTGGCTCTTGAAGCAAACCACGATTGTTGGTAAATTTTTTATTCTTTTTTCTGGTGAACTTTCAACACATTCTTAAACATACTCTTTTGGGCACAGTACAATCTTTATTAATGGTTGAAATTTAATAGAAATTACACACAAAAAAATGTGTGTTTTACTTCTTAATTAATGAGTTTAATTCATGTGTTAGAAAAGTTTTTTAGAGAGTGTCCTGTTTAGAGTTTCTTCTTGTACATTTTTCATTCCCCTATGTGACTCATTATGCATTTATGATATTTGTTGATAGAAATGAAGCCGAATTTGAAAAGGTAGAATAGGAGCGGTTAAGCTGAAGGTTATGATAGTGTCTGGTGTGTTTTCTTCTTGATCTGTTTTCTATTTTTCAGGGTGAAATGAAGGTGGCTACCATTCAAAATGTTTTTGCTGTCATAAAGGGATCGGAAGAGCCCGATCGACATGTTCTGCTTGGGAACCATAGAGATGCATGGACGTATGGTGCTGTTGATCCCAGCAGTGGGACAGCTGCCCTACTTGACATTGCTCGTCGGTTTTCTGTTCTATTGGGCTTGGGGTGGAAGCCAAGGAGGACAATCATTCTCTGCAGTTGGGATGCAGAGGAATTTGGGATGGTGGGTAATAATTCCTTCTTAACAACTGATATGCATGGTGGGGTCTTTTGGTTTTTAATATTTTTCATTCTTGTTAATATCTGTTGTAACCACTTTCATAGTGTGATGTGGTGGTGTCACTGGTTGTTGAAAAGCCAGTGACAAATAATTTTGAACATTCAGTGTGAAACTCTACTATCATTGGTCTTCTATGCCTAAATTAAATGTGTTGTCTTGCTTGTGCAATTTTCTTCTTGATAGCAATTGCAATTTTTCCTGCCAGTTTTCTTTTCTTCAATGTGTTGTCAGTTGCCTTCTTCAACATTCAGATATGCTCTCTGTTAAATTAAATGAGTTTGCTTTATTTTAATAATGGTGTCATTTCATGTAATATTCTATCTAAATCAAGTTTATCTGTTTTTCTAGATAGGATCCACTGAGTGGGTTGAACAAAACCTTATTAATCTGGGTTCCAAAGCTGTAGCATACCTTAATGTTGACTGTGCTGTTCAAGGCCCTGGCTTCTTCGTTGGCTCAACTCCTCAGCTAGACAATCTTATTCTTGAGGTCATGAAAAAGGTATTTATTTGAAACTATTATCATTTATAAATGCATTTGCAGATGTACATACATATGGATAATTCTTAACATGCATATCATGCTTGCTCTGGGTAATTCAGTGATTCTGAACACGGATCAGCTTTTGCTTTAATTTCAGGTCAAGGATCCTGACTCTGAGGGTGTGTCATTATATGAGAATTGGGCTGCTGGTGGTGGAGGCAATAATGTAATGTTTCTGTCACTACTGGTTAAGTGTTTGTAACAATTGTCATGATGCTCCAGAGGACTATGATATCTTAATTAACAGTGTTGTTTAATGCCCAGGATCCTATTGCTACTCAATTTCTGTCAGTCACTGATCAAACTTGGGTTTTGAGCTGGCATATAGTTCAAAGTAGTTTGATAATTAATAGCTTATAATTGGGATCTTACGAGTACCTTGAGTTTTGGCAGCCAGTGTGTAAAACTGAAACTGGGTCAATAGGAGACTGCCATTCTTTGTTTCCCTTGATGATAGATTTATTTTTTTTAGTAGGATATGATATTTGACTTTTAAATTAAATCTTATTGCTGTACTGTTATGATAATATGGGTTTAGATATGCATCAATCAAATGACAATATATTTATCAAAACTAATTAAAATTTGGGTATCAAAAGAAATCTTAATCAATAAAAAGTCTAAATAACTTATTAGTTTAGGCAAGTCTCCATTTGAGCAGATTTCCATTTTAATGGACAATTTTTTATAGATATATATGTATTGAATTTTAAATCATTTAATTGGCTTAAGTAAATTTTTATCCAATTTGTTATCTATTTCTTTAGTCATTTAGATATTATTTAATTTGTTTAAATAAAAATAAATAAAATTATTTAAGTTTCAAATAATTTAAATATTATAATAATTTTTTTAGATACATGATAAAAAAAAATGAGTTAGAAACTATATTGTCAACTCAATTTTTTTATGCAATAAAAATAAAAATTAAAGATGATCCAAAATAAGTTTAACTTTTTTGAATCTAAATGATAATTATTTTGACTCTTATTTTGTTTGAACCGTTAAATTTAAGTGCTGATGCGTTAAATGAAACTTGACCAAAATTAACCATTCTAAACCGCTTTTTTAACTTCTCTATCTGATAATCTATTCAAATTCATTTATTTACCTTTTTTTTTCTTTTGATTTTTCTAGTTTCAGGTTAGGTCTGAGATTGGTGTTCACCCCTATGTGATAGGAAGAGACAAATACAAAAATTTTGTTGTGTAAATAATATTTCTTAAAAGTAAATATATTTAATATTTTGAAAATATAAATACTCACCATATAAGATAAGACTAGTATGTCTAAAAACTAAACAATGGTTAAAAATATCTTTAAATTTTTTTAAGAAAAAGAGTTTTTTTTTTAAATGAGTAGTGTGAAGTGTCATAATATATATATAGGCTAAAAACCTATTTTGGTCCCTTATAATAATTGTTTGTTTCAATTTAGTCTCACTTTTATTTTTTGTTTCAATTTGGTCACAAATAAATTAATTGGTTTCAATTTGGTCCCTAATAAATTAATTGATTTCAATTTGGGACTTCCGTCCAAAATATTTAAACGGAGTTAACTGTTGGCCACGTGGATGTCACGTAGATGCATAGGTGGATGCCAATTTTTTTGAAAACACCTGGAACCAGAACGACCCGTTTTGAAACCAGAACGGGCAATTCTGGATGCACTCTTTGTGAGTTAATTTTGCATCTGAAACGGGCCGTTCCAGATGCAAAATTAACACACCAAGAGTACAGTAGAACGGTCCGTTCTGAAATCAGAACGGTCCGTTCTGATTTCAGAACGGGACGTTCTGGATTCAAAACGGCCCGTTCCAAAACTGAGAATAGAATATTCTTTATTAATTTTATTAAAAAATATAATAATTTTGAAAAATATTTTTTATGGTAAAAATTTTAAAATTATTTATTTTTATAAAATACAATTGTCTTATAGATAGAGTAATAACTTTTTCTTTTTCTCTTTCTGTCTGAAGAAATATTTAAGTGTCACTTTATAATTTTTTGCAACTTATTTAAAATTAGAGGAATAAAATGATAAAAATTAATAGGATAAACATTTAAAATTATTAATTTATTTTCTTTTAGTGTTTTCTAAATTTTTACATTCATTTAAAACAAAAAATATTTATTATATTAGATATAACAACATAATTAAAATATAATTAATAATATATATTTATAAAATTATTAATATTTATATATAAAAAAAGAATGAAAAAAATTTTAGTGGGGGCAAGTGCCCCCACTATGATTAACTTAGATCTGTCCCTGCATATGGTTGTGTGGTGAAATGTTAGTCATGTGTATCCTCTTCCTTTACTTCAGGTTCTACCTCTTCAAGAACAGGTTGTTGTTGTTGGGGTACATCGTTAATGACTTCAAGGAAAAATACCATATCATTTCATCCTTTACTGTATAGTGTAAATTTGGTAGTAAGTGGTTCACTCCAGTTTGAAATGAAATAAAATCTGCTACCATTGTCTTTAGTGATACATTGCATTGTCCTTAATAATACATTGTATAGCCTAACTGTTTAGCAATTGAAGTTATCAATTTGCATTGACAATATTACCAAATTCAGTGTTTGAAATGCTTTGTACCTTGGGTCTTTTTCCTTCCATGATTCACAACCGTGAACTATAATCATTGATCGTTTATGTTTAGCAGTCTGGAACCAGAACGGGCCGTTCTGGTTGCACTTTTAGTGTGTTAATTTTGCACATGGAACGGGCTGTTCCGGATGCAAAATTAACATACCAAAAGTGCAACCAGAATGGACCGTTCTGGTTCCAGATATTTTTAAAAAAATTGGCATCCACGTGGCATCCACCTATGCATCTAAGTGGCATCCACGTGACCAACAGTTAACCCCGTTTAAATAATTTGGATGGAAGTCCCAAACTGAAACCAATTAATTTATTAGGGACCAAATTGAATCCAATTAAATTATTTAGGACCAAATTGAAACCAAAAATAAAAGTGGGACTAAATTGAAACAAACAATTATTATAAGGGACCAAAATAGGTTTTTAGCCTATATATATATATATATAT